CATTCGGATCATTACCAAAAATATCAACTGCGTGCCAGATTTTTAATAGAAAATCCAGAATGCAAGTTAACGTTTTTGTTCTTCGTTCTTTTTCAATACATATTTAGAAGTTTGTAAGTAGAATTTCGTATTAACGAATTGAACCGTCGCGAAGTAAGTGAAGGAACACGGCAACTGCTTGTTCCACTTTAATATCTGAACACTAACGATAATTGTCATGAATAATATGAATAGTTTAATATCTGACAGTTGTTATATGAATAATTCACTCGATATTTATCGATTGTAATTTAGTGGTGGGACAAGTACGCAGCAGTGAAGCACAAACGGACAAAGCAAAGTTTTCGAAAACGTGCGCGACGCGTTGAACTCGAAATTACAAACGCAGAATGTGAAATTAAAAATTACAAAATTTAGAAAGGCCTGAGTTTTAAATATTTCTTTGATAAATAATTTCAAAATAATTTAATAAAATATATATATATAATAGTTAATATATAATAGTTTATTTACTTAGTTTATATACTATTGTATACTATTTAATAACTTAGTTAATATATAAATTTGAATAATAGTATATTAACTTAGTTTATATACTATTTAATAACTTGGTTAATATATAAATTTAAATAATACTATATTAACTTAGTTTATATACTATCATATACTATTTAATAACTTGGTTAATATATAAATTTAAATAATAGTATATTAACTTAGTTTATATATTATTATATACTATTTAATAACTTGGTTAATATATAAATTTAAATAATGGTATATTAACTTAGTTTATATATTATTATATACTATTTAATAACTTAGTTTATATACCATCATATACTACTTAATAACTTAGTTAATATATAAATTTAAATAATAGTATATTACCTTAGTTTATATACTATCATATACTACTTAATAACTTAGTTAATATATAAATTTAAATAACAGTATATTACCTTAGTTTATACACTATCATATACTATTTAATAACTTAGTTAATATACAAATAAACAAGTATAATAGTTAATATATAAATTATTATATATTTGTCAATGTATAACTGATAGCAATGTAATAAGAAATATAAAATATCAAATGTGGATGTAAAAATATAAAATTAAGAAACATATCAAATATCAAATGTGTATGTTACCTCGAAATGATACGAAACATATAAAGAAATGAATATAAACTTAAGACGAAGCGAACGCGAGGCTTGAAATAACGTGCTCGTCCTCGAAAATGCGAAAGAAAATTTTCAAAAAGAAATCGGGCACACGTATGCGCGTGTAACGTTCGACGTTACACTCGTTCCCGCGACGATGAGATCAATTTCAATCCCTCCGTTTCTTCTCTTCGCAGAGAACTTCCCAAAAAGGAAAGGCACCGAGTAAGAAGGAGAAAGAGATCGATTCCGTCGATGAAGTATGGATCAAGCCCGATCCCGAGTCCCGTGGAAAAATGTTTCCCGCCCAGGGAAATCCGTTGCCCTATATTACATCGACAAGGAGAGGGGAGGGAAAGGTTTAAAAGGAAATCGTCTGGCTCTCTCTCGTCGCCCGGGACGCTTATCCTTCGTAAAAAAGATGAGAACCAATCCCGAAACGTAACGGACAACTCTACGTGGCTGGTGGCGGCTATCTGCCTAAGAGGAACCTAAACTTCCACCGAGTTCTCTTTTTTTTTTCCCGAGCTGCTCCGAGATCGTTTCTCAATCGCCTGGTATTATTAAAAGCCGCACACGCCCTGGATTTCCATAGTCATCAGATAACAGGATGAGATGGTGCTTGATCTAGGATCGAGCTCGATGATCCGAGATTTTTTTTTTTTTTTTTTTTGGTTTAGCCCTTTAAGCAAGCTGGCCTGACTGATTGTGATAGAATTGTGGGAGAATCTTAATCTGGGTATTTGTATATTATAAATTGTAACTTATAATTCATGTATTATAATAGTTTAACTGTATATAATTAACTATAATAGACTGCAATGTAAGTTATAGTTAACTTGAGTAATGAGAAACCTCGAATTACCAAGGTTTCAGTTTACGATTAAACAAAAGACTTCTAAATTATATAATACACAATTATGATGCAACTTATATATTACAATCTATATGTTATTTTGTGATTATATGATATAGATTATAACATAAACTACAATTAACTTGAGAAATGAGAAAATTCGAATTGCCAACGTTTGAATTTACGCGCCCACTACGGCCCAATATTTCAATTTATTGGACAAAATTTGAAAATATTTATTCATACATTTTACAAATCAAAGAAGATATGGAAAGAAAGCTTGAGGTCTAATTAAAAAGATGCAATTACAAAAGTTCGCAGATTGATCCTCTTAATTAACTTTTTTTGCAAATAAAAATTTATTCAATTTATGGACACTGAAATGCTAGCGTCGCGTAGCGGTGGAACGATGGAACTAAAATTCATTTCTGTCCTTCTCGCACATTAGCGCGCTCTTTGTCTATCACACGATATAAGTCCTTGTTTAGCACTGTTGCGCTCCTTGTCTGCACCATTGCATAAGTCTGTCCTCGTCTACCACTGTTTCCCTCTTTGTCTGCGCCATTGCATAAGTCTGTCCTCGTCTACCACTGTTTTCCTCTTTGTCAGCGCCATTGCATAAGTCTGTCCTCGTCTACCACTGTTTCCCTCTTTGTCTGCGCCATTGTATAAGTCTGTCCTCGTCTAACACTGTTTCCTCTCTTTGTCTGCACCATTGCATAAGTCTGTCCTTGTTTAGTACTGTTTCGCTCCTTGTCTATCACACGACATAAGTCTGTCCTTGTTTAGCACTGTTGCGCTCCTTGTCTACGACAGTGCTGCTACCTACTTACTTCTCATCTCCGGCTGGAACTAAAAGGTAAAAATGAAAACTCCGATAGATGGCAGCATGCATCAATGTGTTGAAGGGTTTGAAATGGCGATGATAGTGCGAGGATAATGTAGGAAGTGATGATGTGGGTAAGGTGAGGAAAGGTTGTGCGTTTCGTCTCAGAGTCGCTGCCTAGACTCATCAGTGGGGCTGATGGCAGCGACTCCTTACCCCA